TCAAAGGTGCATTATCGGATAGGCTAAAGCTGTGATGTTGCCTTCTGCTTGAAAAGGTAACATTCAGGCAATGATTAAAATAAAACAATAACTGACAATAAAAAGCCATCACGCTAACAAAAAAACAAAACTATAATTCACTTTGGGGGTGTGCCAGGGGATTTGGCTGTAACCAAGGCAACCAAATCTGATGTCCTAAATGTATGTCCTACTGAGGAACAGATTTAAGCCCACGCTTAAAACAAACATTTAAGCCCAGGCTTAAATACTTTGCTGGATCTGGGCTTGATCCTGGGTCTCACATCTCTACCCGGGCAATATGAAACTAGATCAGGCTCCATTTTCTAAGGCATGCTAGAAAAGCCAAAGAGCCTCCAAGGAAAAAGGTCTGGGTAATTTTTGAACTCCTTGTAAAAGCGAAGTTTTGGAGCGTTACTGTCCTCGGGAGATGATACGACTTGATATCAGGACTTGAAGGGGACCTTCAAAGAACAAGGTCTCTTTGGCATCAAGGCTTTTTCTTTGGAAAGAGATAACTGAGGATACATAATAAATACAAGCTCAAGATTGTGACGAAGCAATGCTTGGGTGGTGCACGAACGTGCCGCAACGGCCCATCGGCACGTTCGCTTTAGACCCTGGTCGAACAGGGCGGAAATGCGGATAAGTGATGACAGCCTCTATGTCACGCATATAACATTCTCATTCCAGAACATGGTCATTGCAAATTTAGGCACCACAAACAAATGCATTTAAAACAAAAAACTACTCTAAGCATTCACTCACTCACTCAAATGGGTCACTGGTTCTGAGTGTTATTTAAAAAAAAAAAAGAAGAGTTTTGCTTGGATATTTTAAGTCTGAAAAACAGCTGCTGTTCACGGAAGGAAAGCAACACTCATGCCCTTTTGAGCACCTCCGATCCAGAGACCTCTCCAGGAGAGTGGTCGAAGGTGCCCCCTACACCCTTTCTGCAACGCTCCCACCTGCTTGGAGGTTCGGAGCAGGGCGTCCAGGCTTATTCTTGGCTCTTGAACGACCTAATTTAAAACCTGAAATCCAGACACGGGCAGATATTTTGGAAAGAGAGGATCTGGATCTGGATTCTGCCACTTGGGCCATTCTATAATGAATGCAATTAAAATCGCACCACGTGGGAAGTCGGGTTGCATGATTAAGTCCAGTTGCGCAGGGAGAGGTTACTGGCATGTGACCTGGCCAAAATCTAGTCTGCGGTTATCAGGAGAACCCGCAGCCCCGATCTCAAGCCACATCACATTCCTGCCTCGCAGATACAGCAGCTGTTTCTCATCGCTTTCTAATATGTGATTTGGAGCTATAAAGATGTAGCAACCGTCCAATTTAAACCTGCAAGGATACGGAAATTCAGAGCTAGATTTGCCGCCTGCTCCGTGACTTCCTCTATGGCAGACATCACACTCCTGTCGTGCTTCAGAGAGGAGGCACTAAGGAGCCCACGACTGAGGCATGAGCATGATGAGATGTGTGATGAAAAGGAAGGCACCGTTGGCGGGCTGAACTTCCACGTTTGGGCAGAGATCATTCAAACAGCACTTATTTAACATTCTTTTGCACGTAACATGAGCGAGCTCAACATGACCTGAGTTGCCACCGCCAGTGGTGAGAAGCCCAAATGCAACCTATTAAAAAAAAAGTGCCGAGACAAGTGACAGCTAATTGACTGCGTACGACCGGTAACGTTCGTGAAAGCTGGGTGTGAAATTTTGATGTGAAGACGAGATGCTTTTGCATAGTCAATGCCCTGCCAGGAAATCTGTACAGGAGAAAAATTTCTTTCCGTGGATCAAACATCCCACAGGTTGCTATGGGGCCAATTAGGGCAAAGCCAATGGAGTTTGCCCAGCGCATACCTGCTCTAAGGGACAGGACAATCAGACCCCAATTCTCTAATTCAGTACAATGGCTTGATAACGATGGACATGGAGTTGTTCACTGTGACATGCAATGGGACTTTGCAGACCGGAAAGGAAGATACCAATTCCAGGAGTTACAGTCAGAGTCAATTTTCCATCTTATCCCATGCTTTGCATCCATTCATCCCATCCACAGGGATTTAAATGGGAGGTTATAATTATGTTGGGCTTTTGTGCTAAAAAGGAAAGCACTGTATTTTCCATTTCTATTAGTGTGTGCACCAGAGAAAAAAAACCCTCACAAAACTTAATATTCAAATCCACCAGTTCATTATTAATATGGTCAATCACCCCTCAATGGCTTTGATTCCAGCTTGTAATTTGGTAAGTGCACAGAAAGGTAGTCTCTTTGATTACATCTGCAAATAAGACATTAATGTCAATTCAGTGATATGAAAATTGCTCCTTCGTTCTGTAATTTGCACCTTAGTTATTAGAGGTTTCGTAAACAAGAGTATTAAAGCCCTCGCAAAACGAGCTGCAGATTTATAATGTAGCTCTTAATTAACAAAAACAACAAAACAAGGCAAACCTCCATGAGTTGCCCATGCCCAGGTGTTCGCTGACCTTGGTCTTAATTTTTAACTCCTGGAAGAGAGGATAACGTGTCCCTTTTGCCTGGAACGCCAATCACTCCGCCGTTCCTGTGAAATGACATTTCTTCACTGGGAAGAAAAAAATGATTGGAATGAAACAAAAAGCAAAGGCAAGCAGAACCACGTCCCTCGTTTCCTGTTTGGCAGCAAAAATGCCCCTGCGGGACTCTCAAGATGGAGAAAGAACTGGGTCAGTTCTTTGGAAAGGGCCCAGAATTGAATAGTGCCTCGTACTGTAATTCCTGTTCAAGTATGTTGCGATCGACCTGGAAAGCCCCCTCCGATTTTAAGGTCTGATTCAACGCCCATTAAAGTCAATGGGAATCTTTCCATTGGTGTCAGCAGAGGGTGGATCAAAATGGCATGACTTTACCTGTCTGGAAACAACCCCTGCCCATCCAGTGGGTTTCTACATCACTGCACTGATCAATGGTTGGCTTAAGGTTTTTTGAGCATCGCTCACGGCTGGTGATGATTATTAGTCAGTGTCACTGTTACCATGTGGGGTTTCTTCTGAACCTTTTCAGACCCAAACTTAATTACCATCACTTCTCAATGTACATAATTGGCTCCCGATCTCTAGTAAACCAACATGTGTATGGGTGAGCATATGTGCAAGCTGAGATCTTTCAGCCATTGCTCATACAGACATGCTTAAGCATCTGAGTTGGAAGTATTGTTACTGAATACATTTAAGCAAGAGTAAACTATGATTTTATAAAAAAAAAGGAAAAGGATATTAAACTGGAAGGGAATGGAGACAAGTGTGGACATGAGGGAGAGATGGAGAGTTCAACTGTGGGTCCCCCTACAAGCCACACGTACGTGAAAGCTCTGCGGGGTCAGCACTGTGTAGGCTGTGTTGAGACACGGCTTCTCATCTCACGTGCGTGCAGTCTGTTACTATGGAGCAAGCTCTAATTGAGAGAATTCACTCCCAGTCTCATTAAAATTGATGCAAAACAACTCAGCACTTCCAGCAAGAACTGGATCAGACTGTCACACGTGTAAGAGAAGAATCAAACCCAACAGTTTCAGCTTTATCTCAGGCAATATGAATCATTTGGAGGTTCAGGAGAACCCCACTTAGGAACTAGCCCTCTTGGTCCAAGGCCTTCCAGTTTTACCTTTTCAATCAAGAATTAGGTTGGAAAGGAGTCAGGCTAAAAGCAACGCTTGTGCAATTCCCCAGCAGACAAATCGGGAGTGTCGCGGTGGGGGCTCAGAGGTCAGTGCTGGCCTTGGCAGTAAGTGCCTGGATCCGAGCAGAGTTGCAGGTCTTGCAAAGGATGTGTCCATCCAGAGGGTAACAGCCCTGGTTGTCCCCTTCAGACAGGAGGCCGCCACAGTCCTGCAGCACAGACAAAAGCCAAAAGAAATGAATGGTGGGAGACTGAAATAAGCCAAAAGCACCCTCTTAACCCACTCCTATCCCTGCTGCTCCAAAAATGCAGCCCCAGGCAGTGTGAAGCACTCAGCTGAGGTGCACGCGTCTTCCTTGATGTAACACAGTGATGGGGCTCCCAAGCTTTCTGCTACATGCAACCCCATTGCAAATACAACATGGTTGTTCCTTTCCCAGCTCTGAGGTAGGGGAAAGTTTGTAACGCTGCAGGAAACATCCAAGTTGCAGGAGTGTTAGTTAAAGGAAACAGGAATAATAATAATAATAAAAAAGGCAGCATGGCTCAGAAAGCAAGTCTGCTGCTAATATCTCTGACTACGGGTCTCTGGAAGAGACGACTCCATAAAGCAACGGAGCACATAGGAGCTAAGCCATGTGCTAGCTGTACCAACATCACTACTGGGAGCCCTTTGGGCTGGGGCTGTGTCTACCCACAGGGAAACCCAGGCCCTACATCAGAGACCTTACAGCCTGGGCACACAAGACAGGAAAGGAAAGAAAAGAGAGAGCCCATTAACCCTCTCATGTTTTGCAGATGGAGGATTGAGGCATGCAGAGATCGAGGCGCTGCTCAGCACTGCAATGTCTACATGATTTAGGAGCCTGTGCCTTGCTTTCAACCACAGGTTAGGCACCTGGAGCCTGTGTCCCAGTGGCTCTGAGGGGTGGATGTGCTCCTAAATGAGGCAGGCATTGCAATACCGAAGCACGGCTTCGACACACGTGGGCCTCAGCAGCTGGCCTAAGTCACAGATAACAGGAAGAGAAGGGGGAAAGGACATTCAACAGGGAAGCAGCACCCAAGCTGCAGTAAAGATGCGGTGGGGTGCCCAGGGCAGCTGCCATACATGGGGGCAATGCTGGCTGCTGGTTGCCACCATGCCACTGGTGTTTCTTTTTAACCTTTGTGTGGTGGTGACAACAGCTATTATTTTCTGCCCCGCTCCACCTTCAAATCATCTCCAGGGGCAACTCCCCATGTCACCTTGTCCTACATAGATCACTGCTCTGTTGATTTCCTGGGTATTTTTTAACTTAAAATTTTTCACCTCCTTGTGCCCAAACTGACAGGTGTTGACCCTGATTTTAATAGAAGAAACTTTCAACTCACAATCTATCGCGTGCTCAAATCTTACCATCTCATTACAGGGTCATACTCTCTTCTTGCACAAGGACATGCTCATGAACAGAGAGCCTGACCCTCTTCTCTGGGTGCGCGTAGATTGAGAATAGCTTTCGGTGAAGTCGAGGGAGCAACCTGAATGTGAAGCCAAGGTGGCTGCAGAAACGGGCCCATTTTGCCTGGCACACAAGGGCGTTTCTGCCATCACGGAATAACCCACCATAGCTTTTTCTCCTTGGATGTGGTCTGAATACTCACCTCACACCGGTAGCAATGAACGTGGAAGTCGCGATCCAAGGCCACAATGCGGACGGTCTCCTCTTGACCCGGAGCCGGCATGATGGGCTCCTTACACACAGAACATCTCGGTGCAAATTTCCTGAAGAAAACAGGCATATTTTGGGTCATCCCAGTGCAAAGTCATATTCCTTTTAAAGGCTTGGACATGCAACCCACTTGCACACTGGTTTGTTTTATGCTGGTTTTGCATACAGCTGTAAATTAACCCAGGAGGTGGAGCAGACAGACAGGCACCTATCCAGGGGCAGCTGCTTGCAGAAGGCAATGTTACAAGTTCTCCCTGCCAGGTGGCAAGGCAAGAAGTGATGTCCTGCTTGCTTAGAGCAGAGTTACCTCGGCACAGCTGCGGACACACGGCACCTGCACCAATGCAAGTTATACCACTATAGTTTTACCTCTGATTCTACATTGGATCCAATTAAGCTGCAACAACGTAGGGGTTCATGTCATCCATCTATTCTGTGTTGACACAGTTGTAAAGCTGATTATGCTCACTTAAGCATGTCATGTGCATCAGAAAGTCAGACACAGCCAATAAACTCTGGCACAGCATATATACTGCATCTGCAAGCAGAGCTGCCTCCTTGAGCAGGATGCATTAAGGATGGTTTTGAGGGCCTACAGCACGCTGCAGAAGACTTCAGAGACTACCTGGAGAGCATATTCTGCTTGCTAACATAGTGAGGAGGACTTTCAACTACATTTACCAAGGGATGGAGACACGAGCCCAGAGTTAAATAAATGGCCAGGGCAACGTGGATAAAAATGCGGTTAGGGGAAACAATAGCGGAAGTCTCAGGGGAGAAGACAGGGCAATCAGTTGGATACCTGAGATGTTTGTATAAAGCTTGGGGGACAGACAGGAAGAATTAGGGGGTCCCAATACAATCACAGACTTATGATGCAATGGGGATAGTGGGCATACGTGGCTATAGCTTGTCTGGGACAAATAGATAGGGGAAGAAAGGAGGAGGCATTGCCGTATATACAAAGGCGATGCAAGTGTGTCTGCCATGCAGCCCGAAGTGGGAGGTAAACCTGATCAAAGCTTCTGAGCAAAGGTCAGAGGGGAGAACAGGAGGGGGATGCCAGAGCAGATACGTGTTACAGGCCACCAAACCAGGAGGACAAAGTGGATGAGACTGGGGGAAGCTTCCAAATCGCTGGACCTGGCTCTCACGGGGAACTTTAATTAGCTGGGAGGGAAATGCAGCAGTGCATGAGCAGTGCAGCAAGTCCCTGGAGTCTGTCAGGGATAACTTTGAGATACAGGTGACAAGAGAGGCCACCTAGGGAGGGGAAGCTCTTGCTTTACTGCTCATAAACAGGGAGGAATCGGTGGAGAATATGAAGGTGTGTGAATAAGTTGGGTGGCAGTGACCATGAAATGGCAGAGCACAACAGCAAGCAATCTTGATGCAACAGAAGAATGGGAAATACAGCAAAGCCTGGCCAGACAGCCATGCCTTCAAGGAGCTGAACCTCAAAAAGGAATCCAACAAAAAGTGCAAACTTGGTCAGAGCAGTAGGCAAGTGTATAAGAGCATCACACCGGCATGCAGAGGGAAAATTAGGAAGGTGACCACAAAGTTTGAGATGCAACTGGCCAGGGACACAAAAGGCAATAAAAAGGGATTCGACAAGTATGCGAAGAGTAAAGGGAAGACCAGAGATGCCATCGGTCCCATGATAATTTAGTTATGGATGATGCAGAAAAGGCTGAAGTATTTAATGCCCATTTTTATTTCAGTCTTCACAAATAGGGGCAACAAGTGCAGTTGGCAGCAAAGATAAGGAAGGAGTTAAACAGCCTAGAGTCGTGGCAGAAGAGGTCAGGGATTACGTCGATGTTTTCAAGGCGGCAGGGCGGGATGGGATGCATCCTGAGGGTAGTGAAAGAAGTGGCTCAGGTCATTTCTGAGCCATTCCTTATCCTCTTTGGGAACTTGTGGAGGTCGAGAAAGAGGTGAGACGGCAATAAAAAGGACAAACAAAGGACCCACCTTTACGAAAGGGAAGGGGAAGCTGGGGAATTACAGACCGGTCGGTCTGATCTCAATGCCTGGAAAGATCATGGAGCAGGTCCTCAAGGGATCTAGTGTGATGCAACTAGAGGGGAGCAAGGTGATCAGGAAGAGCCAGAAAGGATTCATGAAGAGCAAGTCATGCTCGACCAGCCTGATTTTCTTCAGGTGACAGGCTCTGTGGATAGGAGGAGAGCGGTGGATATGACATACCTGACTTCACGAAGGCTTTTACTACTGTCTCCCATGACATCCTCATGAACAAGCTAAGGAAATACAGACTGGATGAAAGGACTGCAAGGTGGATACAAAAAACTGGCTGGATCATCAATATGGCTCCATATCCAGTTACAAGGAGGTATCAAGTCAGGTTCCCCATGCGTCTGCCCTGGGTCCGGTATTGTTTAATATATTCATTAGTGATTTGGACAGCGGGATAGAGCGCATGCTTAGCAAATTTGTGGATAAGTGGGGTGGAGTTGCAGGCACCGGAGAACAGGGCTAGGATCCAGAATGACCCAGACAGACTGGCAAAATGGTCCGCAATCAATCAGATCAAATTCAGCATGGACAAGTGCAACGTCCCGTACTTTGCCTGCACAAACACAGACTGGGGCACGACTGGCTGGGCTGAATTGCTGCAGAGAAGGACCTGAGGGTTACAGGAGACTGTAAGTCAACAGTGTGCTCGTGTTGCAGAACAGGCCAACAGCATCCTGGGTTGTACGACTAGGAGTGAAAATCAAGGGAGGTGATTCTTCTGCTCTGCTCCATCCCTGCCAATTTCCAAGAGCGGTTTGGATGGACACTTGGCTGGGGTGGTTTAATCCGGGATGATCCTGCTTCATGCAGAGGGCTGGACTACATGAGCTTGTGAGGTCCCTTCCAGCCCTACTTTCCTGTCATCCTGTGATCTATAGTAGGTCACCCATCATTGTGGCATCTGAGTTAAGTAGTAGAGTGGATCATCATTGTGGCATCCGAGTTAGGAGCCCTCAGCATGCTAACTTCCTGCATAAATCCACTGAAGTCAAGAGCATCTCTCCTCTAAGAAGGTCTTTTGGAAAATATGAAGATCCCAGAAGCTGAAGATGGACCAACAGGTAGTAATCCTGGTTCGTGTCCCTGTGGAGAGGTTCTCTGCAATATAATTTTTGGAGGGTCCACCCTGCAGCATCCGGGTCCCCCACTGCTCTCTGAGCTCTACTTCTAGCTGGACCAGGCTTGTGCCCATATTGGTGGGCTGCCAAGAGAAACCACTAGGGCAAATCTGGCCAGATGCATCTCTTACTTATCTAATTTGCACTTGCAAGTGTAGGTAGAAACAACCCCATTATTCATGGTTTGGGCACAAAAATACGATGCCAATTCTGCACCAAAAAAAGGGCCACCGTCCTGCTGAAATCTCACGCCAAAACTTATTCCTGTTGGGTGGGAAGCAGGGTCAGAGGGTATGAAGTGCCCCTGGACAATGCCTATAGGAACAGCTCAAAGCCTCTTTTGAAATACCTAGCGGAAGGCAACGCTGTCATCCAGCCTTTCACACAACTCCCGGCCTAAAAACTGAAATCTGTCTGCGGCAGGAGTCGAGGAAAATATCTGTTTCACTGGCAGCAGATGAAAGGCATTGGCGTAACTGTGATCAAATCAAACGTGAATTAAACAGTAGCTCTCCGGATAGCTGGGGAAAAAACTCATTCAGATGGATCGTGCTATGACTGTAGCTGCAATTGCAGTTAATGTCCTTGTCCTATTTGCCTAAAATTTGGTGCTTACGAATGTTTTAACGTTTCTCTGTTTGGGCCATGGGGGACAACCCAATTTTTTTCCTTTAGACATAGAGCTGGCTAGGCGTGTGAGGAGTCAGGTAGGAGGTAGAGCAGGGCGGCACCTTAGACAAACTCCCAGCATCAGACAAAGTAGGGTGTTGCCTAGGAAAGCTCATGCCACTCTGAACTAGTTAGTCTCTAAGGTGCCACCCTGCCCTAGAGACCTTCTACCTGACTTCTAGCACACCTAGCCACCGCTGCCTCGAAAGGTAAAATCGGTCCACCCACCTCCTACCCTCAGATGTAGAGATGATCCCAGGGGGAGACACGGGTGTTTTGCAGGGAAAGAAACATCCACAATTTGGTTCTCATCTCGCAAGATAAGCAGTGAAATGCCTGCTGGGAATTTTCAAACTAAGTTTATTAAAAAAAAAAAACTCCAGAAAAACCCCAGGATTCCCCAAAAGTAAAGCTCTCGTTATGAATTTCTATTTTTCTGTAGCAAAATGGGAACAGGTGGGGGGGAATGAAACCCGAGCATTTTCACACCATTTTCAGGAAGATGTTTTGTGAAATTTTTTTATAAACCCATTCTTTTCAGAGAGCTGGAAAAGGGGGGAGGGAATTCCTTTTTTTAAGTTAATAAATGTCTTTATTTTGTGTCCCCCCTCAAGACAGTTCAAGTGTCCAGTACTAAAATTTGCAGACTGGATTTTTGTAACTGCAATTTGCTCTCTTCCTCACTGAGGTTTCCTTTTGATGTCTTCATATGCCTGGTGTGCCCACTCTCCAGGCACAGCGTATCTGGGGGCTTAAAGGTATGGGACACAGTGGGGGTAACAAGGGCTGGGAATAAATCTTTTTAAAGGGTTAAGAAGTGGGATACACCTCCATAGAGGGAAAGCGTTAACCTCCGGTGAGGTCTTGCAGCTGGGGAATAGCATCCCAAGAGAAGAAAGTGGGGAGACTTATCCCTTGCATCTCCATACCTGGGCTGATCAGGTATAGTGATCCAAGGGAGAAGGTAAAATGTGGCTCAATATACTTCAAGGGGCAGACTTTATCTTGGCTGTAGATGCAAGCAACAGGTCTTTTACAGTTCCCTGGAACAGCCTTATTAGCAGCCCCTGTGAGTCTTATCTTCGGCTCTATACCCACACACTTTCTGTTCTCCATCAGCACGAAACACTGTTCATTTAATGCCTTCATGGTGCAATTTATTTCAAGCTTTCCTCTGGAGGGAGGTGAGGCCCTTTCATGCAGAGAGAAGAGAACGAGCAGCCTCCAGCATGCATGGGCATGTGAGATGCGAGGCAAACCTTTTCTGAGTTGAAGCAGGACTCCCCTGGTGCCTTGGCTTTCTGCTGGCCCTGAGTCCAGGGTGCATTTTACCCTACACAGGATCCCTCTGGTTTCCCAACCAGGCTGACCCATGCCGTGGCCTCTGCTGCTGCCGAACGCACGGGCTGATCTGGGCTTCAGCGCACGCATTTCATATTTGATTTTATGATTCCAGTCAATCGCGGCTGCTTTTTGTGCCGTCAACTCAGCCTGCGTCTTTGAGCTTTCAGGCCCGCACGCTGATGTCATGAGGCTCTAATTAAGTCTACCCCCCTCCCCCACTCCTAGAAATTAAAGGATAAATGCTTGAAATGTAAACTCACATTTGTCAGTATTGATTTCCTCTTTTAATTGAGGGGTGCAATGTGTCTGTCTTTTCTGAGCAAGGGAAACATTTCTGCTCTGATTACATCAACCTATCTGTCTTCCTTAGATGAGCTGTGATGACTGCAAGGGGAGGTGGGGGAAGAAGTGGAAGTGAGAGAAACTACAACCCCCAGAGATTTCCTGCTGTCTTAAATAGACATTTTACTACGAATTACAAGCATGGTAGCTCTTAGCTCCTCTCAAGGATAACTAGTAGCTGGAAACAAGGTAGAGCTAGCGTGTGGCCAGCTATCTCTCTGCACAGCACCATCGAGTGCTCAGCAGGCTACTGGTGGGATCCAGAGCATAGCATGAGATCCCCTGCTGCAAAGCAGCAGTCAAGTTGTCTCAAAGGGACGTGGAAGAGAAGGGCTGCAGCTGCTGGGGTGTAAAGCATGCACTGCACCACGTGTGGAAAATGCATCGTGTTCAAGGAGATCTGTGAGCTCTGAGACCAAGGAGCATTCAGCTGGCATATCTGATGGCAACACACACCGCTCCCTCGCTTCTTGCGAGTCTCAGGAAGGGGTCCTAGCCACTCAGGACCCCTCCCCACGTAAAATAACCAAGAGTTTTGCCCTGAGGTCCTTACTTATGGAAATCCTCAATGCAGTGGATGTTCCCGCCGGCGTCCACGGTGAAGGGGATCCCGTCCAAGCTGCGGTGGCACATCACGCAGGTGAAGCAGTGGGGGTGGTAGGCCTTCCCCGTGGCTCGAAGGATCCTCTCCATGATGGGCTTGGCACAGACGCTGCATTGCTCCAGCGTGTTCTGCAAGCAAAGAAAAGACACGTGCATTTACACCAAAAGGCTGCCAGGTAGGCACTAGACAGTCGCGGGGTCTGGCAGGACCGGGGGGATACTGCTGATCTTTGGGGAAAATGCCTTTCTTCTATTCTACATAAGTTCAGCGTTGCCTGCTTCACGGCTGCACGGAGGCAACGCGGCTATACTACCCTCCCTCTAAAGGCTGGATGCTACCTATGCTCCTTGGTTTGTAGGTTTTATTTACCGAACCAGACGGTTGCTGGAGCATAAAAGCCAGAAAGCGGTTTTTCATTTCCAGCTGAAAGCAGCGGCTTGTTCCAACCCTGCCGTCTTTGCCCCATCTGTTACATAAATGCCGGTATAAATCTGCTTCAAACATTCGCCTTCGTGGGGCCTGTCTGCCCTCCCGATGTTGCCCAGCGTGAGTACACGATGTGCAGCTTGCCTTGTTCCCAAATGCACGCACGCAAAGAGAGACACGTTCCACCCTGGCAGCCGCGAGCGATAAATCTGCAGGCAAGCTTGGTGGGTGGATTCGCTGGACCCGGGGAGAGAATCCCCTCCCCACCTGCCTGGCTGGGAATGCGTGGAGTTATCAAATAAGTGCCAGATGTTTGATTTTGGGATGCAGCCGGCGGGCCTGCGATCTCTGGAAGGGGGAAAAATAATAGCAAAAGGAAGGAAAATAATGGGAGCCGTGCAAAATCATGCCAACATACAACACATGAAGGCTAAAGTTCTCCTGCCTTGCATGAGTCCCCCGAAAATCTTGGAGGGGCACATTCCCTTCAAGGGACGGCACGGTCATTGCACGCTTGACTGCACCATCACTGCCCATTGCTCAAGACGGTCAGCCGCAAGAGCCGTCTCCTTGCACCAAAACACGCTCTCCGGACACGAAACACCAGCGGGTGCACAAGAGTCCTGCTACAGTGCAACGTTCGAGCCTAACCTCTGGGGCCATAACTTCCTTGTGAACTGCAAACAGATCATTGGCTTGTTCCTTGCTTTCCTTGCAAATGCCAAAAGGTCAGTAGGACTTGCTTTTTTGGAAGAGTCAACACAAAAGGTCGTGGATTTCAGTGGTGTATGAGAGCTGCCTGCCATGGTTGTACGCACGACCCACTCTGACTCGGGGTTGATTACCGGCAAGGTCTCGCTTGATGTATTGTATTGTTGCAATAACAGGGTTCAATGAATGGCTCCTTGGCTATCTGTTTGCTCACTATCACCGCTGTGACAGTGATTGATGTACCACAGAGAAGGCCAATGCTGTGCTCTGTTTTCTCTTTAGGGACGTTTTCAAACTGAGTTTCCATATCAACACTGCTCCTGATACCTGTAAAGGGTATTCTGCAATGTGGCCAGTATTGGGAAACCAGGTAGCCGGGGCACTATCTACGGCAGATGCCTAATATTAGTAGCTGGATTCTGCATACATCACTAACTCATTAAATAGTTTGGGTTTTTTATTGGTTCATTCAAGACTTATCCCACTAAATAAACTGGATTAAAAAATAAAATGGAGAAGCATGAGGAGTGTGGCAGCAGTTTGGGAGAAGTTAATGGCTGCCCTACGAATTTCAGTGGAAAGGCGTAAAAGCTAGTAATGACCTGGGGCTGGAAAAGGAAATAATCTTCTCAGCAACAGGTCTGTTAATTCGAAGGCAGCTATCGTCGGAGCAAAGCCTGGCTCTTACCGAGCGCTCTTCATTGGTACATCTCCAAACACTTTGCTGACATCTGCTCGTGCTGCATCGATAAAGCTCACAATTAGCATTTGTAACTTTACCAAAAGGGGCCCGTACCAAGCATATTGCAACCTCTGTACTTCCTCATTATTGCACTGGTTTATTTTATGCACAGCATTATCCTAGGAAAACAGACATGTCAGACACTTCCCATATTCTGCTAGAACAGTCCATGCCACAGAGAAAACAGTAAAGTAGACCAGAGATGTCTAGTATCTCATGGCCACCACGCAGAGCAGAGGGGAGTGAGTGCAGCGCATGCTTTAGGATGCCATAGGGAGTTCAACATAGGAACCAAGAAGAGAGGGGGAGAGGTAATCAGGTCTGTCTGGTCATTGGGACGGTCTGCATGAAGTTGTCCGCAGGAGCAGGGGCTCCGGTATTGTTTTTTTGTCTTGTGGTTGCGCCAGAACCACAGTCCAGTGCGACATCCAGAATGAGCTGGGCAGTGCAGGGACCCATAGGATGAGACTGTCTTTGTCTTGAAGGGTCTACCCCAGGTCTGTGGAAACTCATTTACTTGGAATCATAGAAGATGAGGGTTAAACAGACCTCGGGAGGTCACATCTAGTCCAAGCCTCTGCTCCAAGCAGGACCAGCCCCAACTCCATCATCCCAGACAAGGCTTTGTCTACCTGGGTCTTCAAAACCTCCAAGGATGGAGACTGCACCACCCCTCTGGGTAACCTGTTCCAGTGCTTCACCACCCTCCTAGTGAGAAAATTCTTCCTAATATCCAACCTCAACTCCCCTTGCTGCAGCTTGAGCCCATTGCTCCTTGTCCTGTCATCTGCCCCTACTGAGGCCAGTCCAGCTCCATCCTCTTTGCAGCCCCCCTGCAGGGAGGTGAAGGCTGCTATTCAATCCCCCTCGGTCTTCTCTTCTCCAGACTAAATCAGTCCATTTGTCTCAGCCTCTCCTCACCAGTCCTGTCCCCCAGCCCCCAATTCATTTTGTCACCCTCCGCTGGACTCTCTCCAATGCGTCCACATCCTTTCTGTAGTGGGGGCCCACATCTGGACACAGGACTCCAGATGTGGCCTCCCCAGTGCTGAACAAAGGGGAGGAATCACTGCCCTCGATCTGCTGGCAACGCTCCTCCCAATGCAGCCCAGGATGCCGGTCGCCTTCTTGGCACCAAGGGCACGCTGCTGGCTCCTGTCCAGCTTCTTGCCCCCTGTCCCCTCACAGGTCCTTTTCTGCACATCTGCTGCCCAGTCCATCCCCCCCAGCCTGGCTATAGGCTGGTGACCAAGGATTTTCGATTTTTTTTGCTAACACGGGCCATTGAGCTTTGATGCAACCTGACTAGCTGCTCAAGACAGGAAACAAATGTGCTGCAGCTTTTGGATGGTGCCGTCCTGGTCTACAAGCCATCTGTTTGCAAACCTCAGCTCAGTCACACTGTTAGATGCTCCTCTACTGAAATGAGAGAAGCATTTTAATTTCCCTTCTTCTGATTAAATCCTTCTCCACCCCCCTTCCCTCCATTGGAAATTAAGTCCTAGGAAATGTACTTGTCTGATCCTTCCAAATCTATACAGACAAGAATAATTTCAAACACCCGCTCACTCCCTGCCTAGGAATACATTTGCTTTCCTGTACCTCCCTCATGTACCTCCCTGCCTGGGAATAGATTTGCTCTCAGGTACCTCCCTGGCTTCACACGTCTTTTCAAGGGGCTACCCGAAGATGCTGGAGCAAAGGCTGCTCCGATTCACACCCAGGCACCACCCCTGACTCCAGCAAGGCTGCTGCAAAGGAGGACTTGGTCTGTTGTTCTAAAAAGCCCATTTTGCTTTGGTAAAGCAGGCTAGCCTACATGCCTTGGTAACTAATGAATGGCACAATGGTATTTTTGCGCGTGACTGGAGTGGTATGTCAGCAGGAATGTGAGCTTGGTTTCATTATTTTGCTCTCCGTGGCAGTTTATC